TGAGCAGGGAGCCCGATGCGGGACTCGATCCCGGGACTCCAGGATCATGACCTGAGCCGAAGGCAGTCGCCCAACCAACTGAGCCACCCAGGCGCCCCTTGCCATTCTTTTTAGCAAGAAAAGATTAAAGGCTGATCCTACTCCCAACTTTTCTGCATGTTTTCAGGGTTTATTTAAGATATTTCTTTGTCAATAAAATGTAATAATATTTCTAGCTTTTTCTCAAATCAGATTTCTGATTTTTTTTTTAATTTTTAAATATTTTATTTATTTATTTGAGAGAGGAGCATGAACATGAGAGAGTGAGCACCAGGGGGAGCAGAGGCCGAGGGAGAGGGAAAAGCAGACTCCTTGATGAGCAGGGAGCTGGCCACAGGACTGGATTCCAGGACCTTGGGATCATGACCTGCGCTGAAGGCAGATGCTCAACCAACTGAGCCACTCAGACGCCCCTGATTTCTGATATTTTAAACATTTCCTTTTTTTTCATTTGGGCCTAATAAAATTCTTTATATGAACTTGCAGATGAAAGAAAGAATTTCTGGGGCGCCTGGGTGGCTCAGTCATTAAGTGTCTGCCTTCGGCTCAAGTCATGATCCCAGGGTCCTGGGATCGAGCCCCGCATCGGGCTCCCTGCTTGGTGGGAAGCCTGCTTCTCCCTCTCCCACTCCCCCTGCTTGTGTTCCCTCTCTCCCTGTCTCTCTCTGTCAAAAAATAAATAAAATCTTAAAAAAAAAAAAGAAAGAAAGGGAGAAAGAAAGAATTCCTTTGCAGAAACATATCCTGAATACCACATTGAAATCTAACCCCTCCCCCTACCATAAGAGTTAGTTGTGAGTGTTGTGTAAGGCAGTCAGAACCCACAGTGATCAGCAACACCCTGAAAGAAGGGAATTAGAACCTTAGGTGGCCTTGATTGATTGGATAAGTATACAGACAAAAACAAAATGAATTTTAATCAACATGAATATAGATTCCCTCAATCAAAGAAAATCCTGTAGACGCGAGTCAGGATTTGGTTTGAGGATGGCAAAAAATACATATCTGAGGTTCTGGCTGACTGAAAGTTAAATGAGAATTAAATAATTTAAATGCAGAATGACTTCTTGAAGCTACCATGTCCCTACAATTACCATTGCTATTAATAGCTAACTTTCCTGTATACTTACCATGAACCAACACTGCTCTAAGCCCTTTGCATATGACCATTGATTCAGGAGAGACAAACAAGATTATAGGGAACACAGTTTGTCTTTCTTCCCTGAGGTCAACTGAACACCAAACAGTAACATAGTGGGGGCCCTTCCTACCAGCTCAGATGCGAGGTTCCTTGCAGCTCTACCTGTGGTAATGTTTTCACCTCAGGTAAAATTCCAGTCTCTGTGTCTGTCAAGTCTTGAGGGAATAATAGCTATTTCTTAGAATAGGAATAGATACTTAATGTTACAAATAGGATAGGTAGAGGGCTTTTTTTTTTTTTTTTTTAGTTTGAGGCAAAAACTTTTAAATTTGGCTTGTACTGGGGCACCTGGCTGGCTCAGTGAGGGGACCGTGTGACTCTTAAGCTTGGGGTCCTGAGTTCGAGCCCCATGTTGGATGTAGAGATTATTTAAATAAATAAAAACTAACTAACTAACTAAATAAATAAATAAATAAATTTGACTTGTATTTAGAATTGTTTTAATAACATTTATTGGAGGCCTACACATATGCATAGGAAGAAGTTGTAAAAATTCTGCTTTTCATAGGAAAATTTAACATCACTTCAATATACAATTTTCTGATTTGAACTCACATATTGAAGTTAGAGAAGTGGAAATATATTTTAATGCATTTAGGTGAAGTTGTCAAACATTCTCATGTCTGTGGAATAGATTTTTAAAAATCTTTTAATACCCTAAAACAGTGCCACTAGCATGATTTTAATATGTATTATATTGTGAGCAAGAATCATGTGTAAAAATAACAAACATTACTTTCCTGGTTTTTAGATGTGTGGTTTTTAACAACAGAGGAGTGGCAGGGGAGAATCTCTTGGTAAGTAAATTTAAATTAATGACAACAGCTTAATTTTTAAAAGAATGATTTCTAGTTTTATAATGAAAAGCACGTTCTTCTTTATTTAAAATAACTGTGTGTACAATACAAGTTCACTGTGGAAAAATACAGATAAGCAACAACAAGAAAAGGAAATTTATAAGACTCGTAATTATACAACCAGGGGAATTCCCTTAGCCTATGTATATCCAAATTGTCCATCATAATTAAAATATATGTAATGTATTTCTGTTTTTATAGAAGCTAAAGTTCTATTTTATAACTTTTATACTTACTATATTTTAACATCAGTAGATACTAATCTACATTATTTTTAATGCAAAACACATTTTCTTTAAAAATTAACTGATACAAAACAAATCAGCCAATATGATGATACTTTTTTTTCACTTAAGAAATTTACTTTTGTCATGAAATGGATTGACTGTATGTTATATGCCTATTTGACAGCCAGAGTTTACATAGAGGAAATATTATTTAAATCTTTTTATTTACTCAGCTTTTTTTTGCTCTAACCCATTAAGTTTTTGCTAGAGGTTCTCCCACCTCTTAGAAAATCATCATTCTATCTGATGTTAAACCTGTGAGTTGGAGTGAGAACTCATATTGACTGAAATTTTTTTGAAGATTTTCAACTGTTAATCCCTTACCACTCCAATAGGTCAAAGACAATTCTACCAGAATTGAAAGAAACCTTTTTTTTTTTTGAGTCATTGATAGAGAATGATATTAAGACTATAAATAATTAAGTCATGCTGGAAATAAAAATGTGTAATCATGTTGCCAATGTCAGTACTTTATGAAAACTTAGGGGGAAAAGGGCTCTTGCACTTTGCTTTACAGGGACTTGGGTCCTGGAGGGAATCAAGATCAATATGATTTCAAAAACTAAAGTTATAAAATGTTTATGTTCTCTCTCAAGCACCTCACAATAAATAGTTTGATGTGAAGGTTCACATTTCCTTTTTTAGTCCAGCCCTTTAGAAATCTTGTAGACAAATGGCAGGTACTCTTAAAGGGAAAGATTTGAATTTGTCACTGTGACCCTGGACCCACGAAATCATTTCTGAGCAGCTCTTGTCTGCTGTGTCTCCTTCTAGGTGCTTCCAGGATACAAAAATGGGAAGGGCATTCTGAGGTTCTCAAGGAAATAATGTGTTGCAAAGTAAAGTCCATTCAGTCTCATAAAGTGAGGGACAAAGATCTGTTCATTCAGCAAAGCTGTTTTGTTTGCCTATTAATTGTGGAATTGTGGAAAAGCCAAAAGCCTTGCTCAATAGCAAGTGAGAAGCCGGCACATTGCCCTCCCTGGGGCTGTTAGCTATAGGAGACGGAGAGTGTCCTAGAGCAATATTCTCTCGGTGAGAGAAGCAGCGTGCTTATTACATTCTGACACCAGTGCTTATCTCATCCTGGCCTGGCACTTGGGATCCTCTAATCCTGAAAAGCTCATTTTTTAGATGAGGACGCCTCTGGACAAGTGGGGTGACAGGCCTGAGGTCATAAAACTGATTAGTGGTCTCCGGGCAGGAACTCAGGCTGTTTGTTGGAATGTCTTTACCTTTCAGCACTGGCTTTAAGTCAAGTCAGGCTGAAAATCCGGGGTTAGAGATCAAAGGGGTTTTCAACAAGAGGGTTCCTACCTCAACATCAGATAATGGATGGTTCCCTAAGGACACAGATCTACAGAAATCGGCTCTTGTTTCCTACTGAGCTTTTCCACCTTAGCTTTGGAAGCTAATGGGATGGGAAGGATATAGTGCTCTCTCCCCTCCTGAGTTCCATTTTCTGAAGTAGGCATTCAGAAGGGATTAAGGACCTTCCTTATGGTCTAAGGGGAGGAATATAGAGGGCAGGGCCAGTCAGGACACAGTTCATTTGTCAGACTCACACCTTCAGGCACTCTCTTTCCCATACCCGATACCTCCCTACTAAACATCATTGCACCCCATCCAGGTCTGCTCTTTCCTAAATGCTCCAAAAATTACCTCTCCCTCCTTCCTCCATCCCAATCAGAACAACCCAGGAAGGCTTGATCTCAGCCAGATATGGGTATGAATGTATTGAATCCTTTAGAGTTTTTTTTCCTAACATTGCTAGGTCCAGTTCAGTAATATTGACACTTGTAAGTGGTGGGTACACAAAAGACTGTACAATTCTCTATAGTTAAACAATTTTCAAATAAGGAAGAATGTTTAAATAATTGAAGAATTTCTAGGAATAGTAATAATAATTTAATAGCTTCCTACCATTTATTGAATGCTTAATAGGGGCCAGGTGATCCTATAAGCTATGCAGTGTTTGGCAGGACTTCCCTGTGTGCTGCAAGGAATTCCCATAGCACTAGATTTCCCTCTTCCCAAGTCACTCTAGATCCTTTTATCATTCTTGTCACTGCAGCCTTCTCCTCTCTTGGCTCAGCTCTCACCCTATTTCTTTATTCTTCTGCTCTCACCCTGTTTCTCTATTCTTCTATTCTCCAAGCAGTTGGTTCTCAGCCCTGGCTGCACATTAGAATCCTCTGGGAAGCTTTAAAAACACTGATCCCTGGACCCCATTCCCCCCCACCCCCACCCCCGAGATCCTGACTAATTTGGTCTGGGGTGGAGTCCAAGTGTCTGTGATTTGTCTCGACACTCCCCAGTGAGTCTAAAGTGCAGGCAGGGCTGAAGACTGCTGTGAGGTGGCAGCCTCCCTTCCTGGCGAGCCACCTCTGGCCCCAAACCCAGCCAGGGCGGGGCAGGAGACTTGCTTCTTAGGCGCTTGCACCAAGCATAACTCCTGTCTACCTGGCTGGTCTGCTCCAAGCCGCTAACAAAACCGTGGTGTCACTGTGGAGCATGAGTGCGTATGCGTGTAGCCATGTAGAAATGAGTGGGAATGGGGCACCTAGGCCATCTTGGCCTCAGAGGTGGCCAGGATATTTCTTGGGGTCCTTTGTTTTGTGGCTGGTTATTTTAAGAAACAATCAAAGTCCCGGGCACTTTGAGACATTTGGTCATTTTACCTGTCTATCAACGACTAGATAAAATGATTATTCATTAAAGTGCCAGTTTGATTTATGTGTGCCTCCTGTTATTTTCTCTGACTTCCTATTTAATGACATCATCTTCTAAAAATAAGATCAGTTTTCCTAACGAGTTGGGCAGATCACTAGGTACTAGACTGGGGGTGGGTGAAATGAAAACAAAACAGCAGCTACAACAAAAACATGCTGCAGAGATCAGCAGAGAAGCATGATTCATATTCATGAAAGAATTGCTTCTTCTGGGCGCCTAGGTGCACACAAGAATCACAGAGTTCCTTTGAGCAGCATCTTATCCAATACTTCAGTACAGATCTTTAAATACTTGAGAGAGGAAGGCTGTAAAATGAAATATTCTAAGCTCCTGATGATTATCAGACATTACAATAAAATAAAAGTGAAATTGAAATTATTATTATTATTATTATTATTATTATTATTATTATTTTACTTGTAGCAAAAATACTATCAAACTCCCCTCAGGGAGCCAGAGACCCTTGTGGTATTAGCAAAAGACTTGCCCCTCGTGTAGCACACCACCTACACTTGTAAGTTCATCGGCCAGCTGGAATTGAAATGATTTTATAAAAAAACATGGAAGTGTCTTTTTCAGTTTTCATATTGCTGGATGGAAAACTAAAATCCTAGCGGGCCCAGTTCAGTACTGGATGTGAGACCACTCCAGCACTGAGAGAAGGGTCCTGGATTATGGCTTATACTGCAGATTAGCAAATTCATCTCCTTCCAGAATAGCTAGGGAGAGTCAGGCTACCTGATTAACAGGGTGCATTTTAATTTGTTTCTAGACCGAAGGCAAACAAACAAACAAACAAAAAAAACACCACCTTTTAAATGAAATTTACATTTTAAAACAAATGACCTCTAAACCAGGACAGGAAAATTCTCTTTCAGGTTAGGGAGAACTCAGTTTGTCTACTTTTTGGAAGTGGATTAAGAAGGATAGATTATATGTAGTCCACAGATGAATATAAAATATATGCTTTACTCTTTTCCCATCTGTTATGTGTGAATAATTAGAATTAATTTTACTTCATTATTCTCTTCAGTGATTTTTTTGAACGAACCTCTAAAAGCCATTAAACAAATTACTATTGTTTCTCTCAGATCATAGCTGCAGTTGAACAATTTGAACAATCTTGGTTTGTAATTATTTTCAAATTATTCTAACTTATAAAATATTTATGCCCAAACACCTGCTGGAAGATTATCTGTCCTTTAGATTTTCTTCATTTTTCCAGAATACCTTTCCCATCCTCGTCTCACTGTAAAAGAGTTTTTACCACACAGCTGAATGCTGCAAGGTCTCCCTTAATCCCTTTTCTCATTAGATATGGCTTACTCTACTTCTGTTCTGGAAGCATGGAAAAAGACAGGAATTACTGCAATAGGATTAGTTGCTGGTTGCATTAGTAGCCCTAGCAACTGAGAATTAACTAACGTTTTGTCTAAAAAGCTGCTAGTTATATTTTTAGACCTGAAGAAAATTTCTGCCAGGCCTACGAATTCAGTGTATGGCCCCCATTAGTGTCTTTGCTGTGTATCCTGGATGAAGACCCTTCTTTAGTGATCTCAAGTCCTGTGAAGAAAGAAGGCATATGATGTTTCCTGTTGGAACCATTACGTAGCAAGAGGTCATGTGATATAACCACATAGTTTTGCATATCAGAAGTTACTAATCAGGCCTTCTCATTTTTCAGTCCTGTGTATTTCAGTTCAATTCAACAAGTATCTACTGACTGTCAGAGATAGAGGTAAGATAGTAGTAGATAGACAGGTAGTAGATAATGTGGGCCAGGAGCAGACTTGCTGGGACAATTAGGGGTAGAATGGGGAAGGTTGTGATGTCATGAAGACCAGGGGCCAAGTCTTGGCCGTTTACCTGATATTTATGCAAGGCATGATTTCAACAGGCAGAGTTGACGGTGAAGGACACTTGGCAGATGAAGTATCCACACAGGTAGCAAGGATATTATGAGGCCAGCACACAAGACAATAGTGGTGTCTCATTGACGTGACTCTGTACCTATGGAGAAATGGTAAAATCCAGAGCTGGAAAGGTTGCTTGACATACTGTGGAGGGCCTTGAACACTTGGCAGAAGAATGTGTCCTTAATTCAGTCAGCAGTGGGAAGCTAATGAAGAGTTTTAAGCAAAAACACTGTCATGATTAGAGCTAGAAATGTTCTTTAGGAGGATTAATCAGCCAGTGAGTGGAAGATATGAGTAGGGGTGGTTATGAGCAAAGGCTGGGAGTTAACTAGTTAAGTCGTTACTACAGCCGTCCGAGTGAGAGGTGAAAAGGCCCGGTAGCAGAGACAGTCGGTGCCATAGACTTGTCACATCTTTACCCTTGGGGCACTTACCATTCCCATGCACGCGTACCTGATGACTGTCACCTGCAAACGCTCACATCTCTTTGACGGGGGCCTCTCTGGCCACGGGAGCCTGCTGGACCTGTGCTCAGGGCCAACCAGGAGTGCCAGCGAGTAAACATCCTCCAGGAGCAGCCTTCAACCAATGGCTGAAGGGGACTGGTGGAACCCAGCTGTCTCGCCACTCGTTTGGGATAATTTTGAGCCATACTCACATGGTGTCCCAAAGTGCCTCAAGAGGGTTGGGTCCCCCGTCACCCATAGCCACAAACTGCCTTGGTCCCATAGTCTTTATTGACTTCCTACCCTCCCTGACTCAGTTCACCATTCCCCAACTGGTGCTTCCTGGTCTCACCTTCCAAATGAACTGCTTGCACTCGCATCCTGTCTGTCTCAGGGGCTCTTCCAGGAGACTCTAACATACCAGGCCTTGACTAGAGTGGAAAGAAGGGATTTCCGGTGTTTCCCGAAAAAGACACTGAGGAAGAAGCTACAGGACTTGGCAATTCATTGGCTATGAGATTAAGGGAAAGGGAGAAGGCAATGTCACCTACAGTTTTAACTAGGAAAATATAGGTGTCATTTATTTTTTTAAAAATGGGAAGTTAGGAGGAGCATTATAGTGTTCATAAAGAGAAGAATTTACTTTGGGGCATTTTAAGTTTGAAGTAGTGACAGAACACAGTAGTGAAGCTGCCTGCTAGAACTTGGAAGTTTGGATCTGGAGCTCTAGATCAGGTGAGAGGGTGGAGAGTTGGTTTGGTCGTTGCCTAGCGGTGGTCTGATGAAGCCAGGAAGGTAGGTAAGACCCTCAGGAATCAAGTATTAACCAGAGAAGCAGAGGCAGGCCTAAGACAAGACTTTTGGGAATGGGGTTGTGGGGAGAATGACAGGAAGCAGGCGGGAAGTGGAAAGCCAGCAGCAGGAGAAGAACGGGGTAGCGCCATCACAGAAGCCAAGGGGGTAGCTGGCGGGAGGCAGGACCATGCCAGAAAGGCTCTGGATTGGCTGAATTTCAGAGTTCTGGCGACTTTGATCCATGGAGTATTGTCAGATTTGATATTAATGTAACCCATCTGGAGAAAAACATTTATAGACAAAATCAGTTCCTGTATCTGAGGGTACCAGATGCTGACTTATTAACTGAATCCCTCATGGTATCCCAGTGCTTTACAAGAAGTCGTGTACTTACTACAAACAGGTGATCCAGGCTCTGCTGCTTTGTGACCTTTGGCGAATTACTCAACCTTGCTGACCTCAATTTCCTCACGTGTAAATAAGGAACCAGGTCCTTCCTGGCACTAAGATTCTCTGATCTTAATCATTTTCCACAGGCCATTTTTCTCATACCCTGACTTCTATGTTTATATTCGCGTGTACCCATGTGTGTACATGCATTCACTTCAAGCCTGCGTGACAAGAGTACATGTGGTGACTGTCGCAAATAATTCAGAAATGTTAAAGCCATGCAGTGTGAATAGACTCACATGTAATAAAAATACCATGTAAGGATTTCTTCACCTGAATTCTTGTGACAAATTGTGCAGTCTCTGTGAATGAGCATGGTACTAGATATTATTCCATTTAGATTTTACATTGAATTTGTGCCCTTCAAATGCACTTAATCACAAAGGATTTTTTTAAAAGTATCTCAGCTTAGTCTCGTATTAGCTGGTAAGGTGTGCCAGGAGTCTTTTAACGTCTCTAAATTCAGTTTCCTATATAAAATAGATATAATAATGGGATCTTCCTCAGGGTTTTGTAGAGACAAACTTAATTATTTAATAACTTAGCCACTGTAAATCTTATCAGGTTAACATTTGTCTTTGGCAGAGTTTCATATTTGCAGACCTCAAAAAGATGATATTGGCAGTGGGTAGTGTTTTAGGCTTGAGTTTAATTGGAAGGATCGTTAAAAACTGTGGATGTCTCAGGCTTCGCATTGGCGATTGAATGGTGGGTGAACATGACCTTGAGACCATGGTTTATTGGAATAGTAAAGTCAAGATGGTCCAGGTCCCTGTTTTTATTAGAGCAGTGTTAACCAGATTCCTCTCCGTGTTATTCAGTTTCTGGTTATTTTATCTCACAAATGCACACTCACACATATTCATGTACACGCTCTCACGTTTATTCTACAGAGAGGATTGCCCTCTCCTCCCGCAGCTCAAACAAAGCATTTGTGAAGCTTTCCTGCTAGAAACAGAGCTCTTATTGATGAAGTTCACATGAAAACCATTTGTTTTAATGCATTATGGATTGAGGCATAGTCAGCTTTACATATTTTAACATATTAAGTGTCTGTTGCAGTGTAGTGCAGCTGGGGCTCTGTGGATATATTATTGTAAAAGAACATATGTGATTAATAAATGCAACTGGAAATTGCCTTATCTAGAGGGAAAGCAGTGCCAAAAAACCACACTCCCTCCTTGGTGGACAGCACTTAGGACAAGGAAAACAGTTCCCCAGTTAGAAACCAGCCACAACTTAAAAATTTTGTGGCATCATTGTAAAGTCTCTTTTGTTTGCTTGCTTGCTTATTTTTTTTTAAATAAAGAATTACTTCGGCTTTGTCAGGCATAATTTTTTTGTTGCTTTCAAAAAAAAAAAGTGTAATTCTTCACTTTTTCTTCCTAAATTGACTCTGTCCTTGTTGGGTTGGAGACACATTTGAATATGGTACTGTGTATTCTATTTCATTTAAGGTATTTGTGTTGGTCTTGCCCTATGTCTGTCAAGCCTTCCTTGCGTGACCAAAGTCTTTTGGTTAGTGCCAACTCAGGAGAGTGTTGACTTGAAATGGCATATACTGCAAGATGTGAATATGATAGCTTATTATTACTCATTGTATATGCAAAGGTTTATTTTCTCATATTTGTCTTCTTGCTCTTTTTACATTTCTGCATTATACAAATCATGAACCTCATAATTTAAAATTTTGCGCTTTACCTATCTCTCCTTACAGACACCAAGGACTTACTGTTGTGCTAACACGGAAGACCTGGAGACAGTTATTCACCACGTGCACAGTCTGTACCCTTCTGCTCCTTTCCTGGCAGCAGGGGTGTCGATGGGAGGGTAAGGTTTTTTTCCTTTCTAAAATGTCTGAGAGAGAAGTGGCCTTACTGAGTGCTTCTTTCAGGAGACTATAAGCTACAAAGACATTTTAAAAATGAATGTTGGATTATTTTTATCTGATTTTACCACATGTGGTTGAATGAAGGAAGAAGTTCATCCAGGCGAATGTTGCTATTTGCCTTGGCAACTATGGCTCTGTGGTGAAAAGGATGCAAGTATCTCCTTGGGATCCTCAGGGTTGTGGGAGCCTGAAGGCTTGTTGACGTTGATTTCCATCACTTGGGAGCTGCCATGTTGACCTTCAGCTTCCCTGATGGTCTCCCAGCTGTCCCTGTAAGTGTGTCCTCCGGCATCACACTGGAAGCTGACCTCGGAGACTGACTTTCATCACTCCAGGCGTAGAAATAATCACTTCTTGCTCTCTCCGGCTGAAGAGGCCTTCAAAATTTTTTTTCCTCCAGGTGGTGGTGTTTTTGTTTGTTTTGTTTTGTTGCTGGGCAGTTGGGCCTACCCTGGAATGCTCTCCTAGAAACTCTGACGTTTTATTGTTAACCCTTACTCCAGCTGCTCTTTTAAGCATATGAATATTTTTATAATTTGTGCTTCTTGCAGTTACACTGGGGCTTAGTTGGAACATCTATGCCATATTTATTCATTTCTACTAATAATCATGTATATTTTTTATGTTCCAGTGATTATGAACTTAATAAAATACAAAATTTTGATTATCTGGAATTTCATATGCTTAGATTCCCTAAATGCTTGTTCCAAAACTGACTTTTTAAAATCAGCAAACAGGGTGCCTGGGTGGCTCAGTCGTTAAGCGTCTGCCTTCAGGGGGCGCCTGGGTGGCTCAGTCAGTTAAGCGCCAGCCTTCGGCTCAGGTCATGGTCCCAGAGTCCTGGGATTGAGCCTCACATTGGGCTCCCTGCTCGGCGGGAAGCCTGCTTCTCCCTCTCCCCCTGCTTGTGTTCCCTCTCTCGCTGTGT